TAATTAATGTACAGTATTTGAAAAATAATGTGTTTTTTGAACATTAAAGCATGTCAACATATTCTGTTACACCAAATACACAAAATAATGATCTTTAAAAAAGCATCATATGACCCCTTTAAAAGAAGATACTTTGATTTTATTTTTTTCCCCCATAAAATGACAGTCAATGGGGTCCAACGTTGTCATTTTCTGAACAAAAACAGTTAAAACATTAAATTCATGTTGGGATTTGAACTAAAGATACAGATAAACAAAGTTTGGATTTATTTTGAACATTGAAGAATGGGTTCCCCCTTTTTTTTTTTTTTTTACAAAAAGTTCCAGCAAAATGTTTCCCCAAAAGAAAAACAAAACAAAACAAAACATGAAATTGCACTTTTAGGAGGTATGTTTCAAGTGACTATAATTCAATACAAGAAGTATTCTGAATCCATCATAATCTAATCCAGAATATTTATTTAAAAAAAACTAAAGGCAAATGGTAAAATGGCAACATTGCGGTCAGTAGGACACAGTAACAATGCCAACAGATGTATTTTCCACACAGCAGCCTGATTTTCGTTTTTAGATGGTAACTGTTAGCACTGACCCTCCAGTGTTAGTCCATCCTGATAGTCTTTGTTGTAAGAGTAGTAATACAGATCATGACGAACAGCCATAAGGAGTCCAGGAAGTCCTCTACTCCCACCCAGCTGGGAGGAAAACACCACATTTGGGATGGAGTCTTTCCCTGCAGGGTGAGGTGAGGGGATCGTCCTGAGGAGACGGCTGTCGTGGAGGCTCCAGAGCCGGGTGTAGCAGTCCTGACCCACTGCAAACAGCACACAATGAGATGTGGTACAAGCATTGCGATTGCACTGAACTGAAACTGGTTTATATGAAAAAGATGTACCAGCAAGCAGCAATCCTTCTGGCTCATTGACATGAATGATATATATATATATAAACATAATATATAAACTGTAAATTGTAATAACTGTCGCAATATTACTGTTTTTACTGTATTACTGGTCAAATAAATGCAGTGACCATAATTTTCATTCCAACAGCATATTGTAGAAACACATACAAACGAGTCAAAAACAGGCTCATTGACATGAATGGGTAGGTAGGCATATTCATTGTGGTGTCCTTCATACTGTTTGACGGACCGCTTAACACGGATGTCCCACAGCTTTATCTGTTCAGTGACAATATGAAGGGAGAATAAAAATAGGATCATTCAAAGCTCTAAATTGTTATTAATAGCATGATGGTCTGTGGTCATTTTAGTTGCTTATCATAGACAGACCTTGCCCAGCATGTCAGCAGCGAGGAGGTAGTTCTCATCCTGTAGCAGTTGGATGGAGGTGATGGCTGACTCCTGGAAGAAGCGGCTGGTCTTCCAACCGTGACTGCGACCCCTGTCACGCTGACGCAGGTCAATGCTGAAGATCTCTCCTGAGCGACAGCCGTTGAACAGCACGGGAGCCTAAAATACGAGGAACATGGCACAAAGTGTCACACAGATATCTTTGCTCACATGCATAAAGTAAAAAAAAAACGCGAGATAATATTTACAAAAGCTTTCCCCTGCAGAATGTTATTATTAAAAGTAAAAAAAAACTGATTCCTTGTCAAATTAGAAAGACTTCCTAATTTTACCAAATATATGTGTACAAGGGATAAATAAGAATTTTGTAAACTAGATAACTGTTGGCTATTGGTTTTTGATAAATATTTTGATAAACCAAAAACTGCCATTCACTATAACTTTTAAAATCCTGGAGAGTTTAAACATGCTGTAGAAGATATTTTTTATTAATAAAGGATATATATATATATATATATATATAAATTTTGCTTGAACTTTGTATTTAGGGCTATTACGCATTTCAAAAGGTGCACTCTTTTTTTGTGTGTTGTCGACTTGGACTTGTTCTTAAATTTAGTGGTATAGATGCAGCATTACACAAATCATTCATTTCTGTAAAACATTTTAATGAGGTAAAAATGACAGAGCACATTTAAATTATAGTAAAATTGAGGGAGACTGGGAAGTAGGAGGAGACAGAAAGTGACAGACATGATGCAGGTTAGATTCAAACCACAAGCATATGCTCTACCACTGCGCCATGGCCATGACTTCAAGGTTGCTTGGGATGAAAAATCATTGTTCTTTTCTCACCCTCACGGCAAACTGTTGAGCTAGAACATCACTGCCTGCGAGGTATGTCGCTCTACTGGTCAAATAAATGCAGTGACCATAATTTTCATTCCAACAGCATATTGTAGAAACACATACAAACGAGTCAAAAACACACCAGTGCTGAAGGTTTTATCAGCCTGTGGGTTGAGGCACCATGCACATGACCAAGCTGTGGAGATCTTAAAACTGCACAGCATCCCTGGTTGATCTGATGAAAAAAGTAATTTCAGTTTAATAAAGGGAAAACAAATAAAAAGTGTTTTTAAATTAGAAATGTGGGAGACCCAAAAGGAAACGATTTGTACCTGGATTGAAGTTGCTGAAAAGAGAAGCAGGTAATAAGCTTACACAGCCTGGGGTCTGAGAAATGCCCACCAAACACAACCTGTAAAGACTTGTCAAGAAACACTTCCTCATGGCTTAGAGATGTTTGTGACTTTTTGGTGATTGATTAATAGTCATTAAGAGTAAATATGCAGTTATGCTCCTATTGTAATGATATAGGTTATGCACTTTTTAACAATTAACAAAGTGAAATGAAGAAAGACTAAATGTATTAAAATTAAGATGATATTAACCACCTCCACATCTGTTTTGTGGTAATGTTAACAATTAATTGACCATTTATTTTATTGGCCACTGGTTATGAAAATTCCTGAAAACTGACACCCCATTAACGTTTATTTAGTAAAACCACAATACAGATCTACAGTTTCAAAATAAGCATAAAAATAATTGAAGATTTAGTTTTTAGAACCTAAAATGTTTGAAGGATACAGAACATGCGAGTCTGTATGTGTCACGGAGGCCCAGCATACAGAGTTCACCTGAAACAAAATTAAAAGGAAATAGTACTATGAAACAACTTATTTTTGCTGAAAGGAATTCATTTTAAATTCCTCAGGTTACCTTGCGGTTAGTAAAATAAAGGTTATCGCACATCTCCACCGACAGAGAGCCCTTTCTGCAGCCATGGAAATTCATTATGCCATACTTGCAGCCTCCGTGCGACACATCGTTTACTGTGAAGACTCGCTCACAAGCTGAATCTGCCTAATAAGATGCATCCAGAAAAAGGAAAACACAGTCAGATTGAAACCACAATCACTGCCAAAGCGTAATCTTCCTTCTGTTAGTTTTTCAAAGAACAGACAACTGGAGGCCAAAACCTCCAGTAACACCTGCCAGCAGCAATCCATTTCCATGAAAAAACAAAAACAAAAAAACTAATTGTTTGACTGTTCTCAAGTTGCCTGTCCTCAGCATAACATGCTGTTTTTCCACTGAGAACACATTTAAATGGACTGAGTTGCCACAGAAATCAAGTTTTACGTTTTTCCATTAAATGAGAGGCTTACAACAATGAGATGGAAGTTATCGGTGTTTGGGCTGGTGGAGTTGGAGCTCTGCACCTCCAGCCTGTGACGCTGCATCCCGCTTACTTTCACTTCATGGATCAGCCTGCAAAATGAGAACACTCTTGGAATCGAATTCATTTTGGGATCCATTTTTTTCCCTGGTAAATTACATTCTGAAAAAAAAAGTTGTGTCCACAAGATATTTTATGTCATACCTAGAATAGGAGCTTGGGGGCAGCAGACCCAGATGTCTCTTCTGTAACAGCAATGCAGAATTCAGCCCAGTCCTGGGAGCTTTCTGAACATATTAGGACGAAACAAGGAGGAAGTGAATCACCTGCACATTTCAACACAATGATTTATTACCGACAAAACCCATCCAAATACTGCAGATATGCTTGTCCATAAAACATCCATAGAATTCTCTCAAAGAACTTTATAGTTGAAATTTAGTGCAAAAATGTGATACAAGCAGTGAGGACTGTCCATATAAACTACATTTACGTATAGAGGACATATTCAGTACTTCCCCAACTCACCTTCCTAGAACCATCATCCTCTGCCAGCAGCGCAGATCTCTTTCTCTCCTCTTCCTTTTTCTGGAGCCCTTCTTTTGTCAGAGGGTTACAGTTGTTGTGTCCAGGCAACAAACGAAAGTAGCGGTTCTTCTCTGGGTCAAAGTAGAAACCTGGCAACTCTATAAATAATAATGGTTAATGGTTAAATGAATTAATTTGGACTGATAGGACAGAAAGCTGAGCAGAGAGATAATGAAAAGTAAAAGTTCACCTGGTGCAGATGAGGATGCTGTGGATGAACCTGCATCACCTGCTGCGCTTTCAGAACTAGAAAAAGGACTAATGTTAATGGCTAATATAAAGTTAAATACAAGCCTAACTGAAAATAATCCAAATAAAATTTGACCGGAAGGAACTGAACTGCCAAAACCGCTGACTCTAGGTCTCAATACTTTAGTATGAACACTTTAGGATTGTTCACTAAAAAAAAACATTATTCACCCTCATGTTGTTTCAAACCTGTATGACTATTATGCAGATTGACAGCATTCACTTTGACTGCATCTCTTGTCCATACAATGAAAGTGAATATTACCGAGGCATTCTTTCTGCTTGACATCACCTTTTGTGTTCCCCAGAAGAGCTCAAACAGGTTTGCAACAACATGAGGGCGAGTAAATTACATCATTTTCATTTAAAGTAGCGTCTAGGTGAAAATTGATAGACTCAATCTGTGTTAGTTACCTATATTCTTGCTCATCGTGGGCTGAACGGTGTCTGCTTCGCCACTGTGACTGACTGTGCTGTCGATGACGGTCCCTGCCACTCGATCGCCAGTTCCCCCGCTTCATTTCTACTTCCCAGGGGTCATGTCAGATTAATGCCTTTAAATTTAAATAATGAGGCAAAATTATGTATTCATTTTTGGTTTTAGCTCATATGAAGAAAAACCTAAACTTTTTGGAGTATTATTAAGAAACTGAGCAGTGATGAAAAGCACTGATTTGTTATGGAGCTGAACAAGGAGCTAACATGCTAAGACTACTATTATGAACACGCACGTGGCTAATTCGTTTATGTTAACGGTTACTCTTGCAGAAGAGAACTCACGTTAATATATTTATTGATCGCTGAAATAACTTGTAAACTTTATGTAAAAAGGAGAGTCATAATAAACATACCCGATAAAGATGCACTCGTGCTGACTTCTTCCTGTTTGGAAATATGATTTGAGAACACCAGGGAATTCCCGCCTCCTTACTGTTCATTGGTGGAACCCTGAGACTTGAAATAATGTGACTGGATAATGAGCTGTCAATCACGTCAGAGGCTGTCTCGTTGACATACAGAAACATACACGAAGCTAAAGGGATGAATAAAAATAGAAATAGTTCTAATTAGCAAGATGTAAATGTGTTTTAATGATGATCGTTGTATGTATTGTATGTATTTATATTTAAAAGAAAAACGGATAAAAAAAACAATATAGGTACAAAATATATAAAGATAGCCTATATACTGTTTATTTACATTGTTAATTATATTACCATATGATATTGTTAATTAATTAAATTACATTTTTATATTTAAAATATGCTCTATACAAATCACCAAGCACAATTATGTACCAAACTGCAATAATACAATTAAAATAAAAAATCTAGTTAAAACTGACAGATGAATGTTATTTTATAAAGACTACAAGAGGCTCTTATTCTGTTGCTGAATGTAAAACAACACATGCAGTTTGCATAAATAGCGTTACTTTAATCTCTTCAATTTACCAAGCAAGTAGTCTTAAACAAGGTTTAAATTGGGCCGGGGCCGTCCGGGGTTTGAGCCCCGGCACATAGACTCCAGGGCTCGACATTAATGCTTTATTAACGCCAGACAAAGTAAGCATGCTGAGGTAAAAAATCTAAATGAAAAGTTTTTATATTTAAAATACAGTTAGTTAGGCAACATCACACAACGTTTTCACCATTACGACTGTTTAATAGTTCAATAAACAGTTCACTTAGCATGTACAATAATATTAGGTCACTTACATTTTATGCGGAACCACAGCGCATCTCACAGAAACCAGCAGATTAATTGCTGAATGATTCCGTGTTCTGAACAAATCGGTTGAGTCAAAAAGTTTCATTAGCCCATGCATAAACATCTGATGAATCAGCCGTTTGAACGAATCGATTGAATGAACAACTAAGTGACTCACTCATTACACGCTCACTACTGGCACCTACTGGCGTTTTAATTTAGTTTAAAAGTATCATTTTCACCATAATTTCTTGTTTGTATAATACCAAAAAAATATTTTAAAAAGTCTCATAACATTATTCAATGAAATTGTATTTTTTCAGTGTAAATGATTTAATTTGATAACGTAGAGTTAATTTATGAACCAGAACATATTTTTATTAAATACATTTGGCATTTTTCATATATGTTTCTTGTTTTCGGTCATTATTTTAGTATTTAAAAGTATCTCACTTGCTTTTTAAGTGCAAGGCCATAACCACATGGGTTAGTATTACAAATATTGTCGGTGGGAGAATTATACAGTCACTCAACTTCACTTGTGTATATATATATATATATATATATATATATGCCCCAAACCATAGAGCCCCCCCACCATATCAAATCCCAATTTAACCCCTGGTCTTAAGTAAAGATGTTGAAATAATTTTTATAATTTTGACAGCTCTCAGAAGCCACGCCCAGATTCTGATTCCTAGTATTGTATTGGAACTTTCACCATAATTTCTTGTTTGTATATTCCAAAAAATATTTAAAACAGTCTCATAACATTATTAAATACAATTGTATTTTTTTCAGTGTAAATGATTTAATTTGATAACGTAGAGATAACAATAATCACATTATTATAATTGAATTTATAGATAAAATGTAAGAATTTGAAATGAAAATTCATTCTGAAAAATATGCAATATGTGTGTCTCAGCATTCAGCCTCTGATGGTCAGTGTTAGTGCAGCATTATTTCGGATGCAATGCTTTGAGACTGTAACGTTACACACTCCGTTGACTTCTTTGCAGGACACCTAGATAAAGCCTCGGCCATATATGAAATATGTCGGAATTAGCTGTCATATGACTACAGGAGCGCGCTGTATGTCACGATAAACAACTTATAACGTAAAATAGTCATTTAAAGATTCAGATGCAATGTGGTGATGTAAATTGATTATATGTTTCGGTTGCATTATTGTTTTAAAAATGCCTATAAGATGATATCGAATAATTTCCCCGTTGTGGCCTATGGAGAACTGGCAGACCCTGTCACATACACATTGAGTATTGGAAAGTGGCAAGAACGAGTAAAATATGAAATATGTTAATTTCCCATAAGAATTAATTAGATAACTTTCTCTAACGCACATACAGCTTTCAGTTGTGTCAAGTCCCTTCGTTTTTGTACACCCGCGTGATAGTAAACATTACATCGGAAATGGTTTGATATGAGATATACATTGATATTTGTGTCGTGTCTGGTGAATAAACGCCGTTTTATTTGGGATGACATATTATAGTGATATAAAAAACAGGCTAACAATAATGAAGTCAAGATATAAGTGATGAATAACAATGGAATTCACTGTCCTGTTCTCTGTTGTTTGTCTGTTGAAGTGCATGTGACAGAATTCCAGGTTCTATTACATTACATTTATTAGAGCTTTAAGAAGAGGTCAGAAGGGTTTGTCCTTATTACTGGCATTTGTCAATACCATTTGGTTTTAACTGAGTAGTCCTGATGTGGAACTTTGTAGGAATTGGTTTTAAATATTTGATGGAGAAAGAAAGGATTTACTTCCGGTGTGATGTCTAATAATCGTTAATCTTGACATTAATAAAGCAAATACATGTCACCGTTTGAATTTCACATATGCATTTATTTTATGCTATTCCTAAATTAAATAGTGAGTGGACAAAATGTGGAATATTTGCAGTTCTGCAGGCATTTAAAAGAAAAGAAAGAAAAAGTTAAAGTATATATGTTTAGAAATGGTTAAAGATCAATAAATACTCATGCTATATAATATATGTGATACATATATGTTATATTTATGTAATACCTAGTCATGTTTTATAACCTATAACATATTATATGTGTGTGTGTATTTAGGCCTGTCATGATAACAACTTTTTGTTGTGCGATATATTGCCCCAGAAATAATTGTGATAAGCGATATTATTGTCATTTTAAAGACCATTTTATGCCACTGAATATATAATCATAATGTAACAGCATAATAATGCAAGAAGGCCTACACGACTGTTTTTGTAACTCATGTGTGTTTTTAACGTAAACTTGTGTGAATGAGAACTTAGTTTAGTAACAGTACTCACATGCTGTGACAGCCGCTTTCTGTACGTGTGCTTCAGTTGTGTGTGCTCAGAAAACCGTATATCAGAAGTTTAAACTAATAAGTTTAAAACGCATGATTTCAGCGCGATAAACATGATAATCAGAACCAAAACAGATGTTTTTAGCAGGTACGAGCTGTAATGGCGCAGCTTTATTCTGGAAAAGGGGGCGGGGAGCAGCAGCTCATTTGCATTTAAAGAGAAAGACCCGAAAAACGAAATTAAGTATCAAAATATTAGATACCTTAAAAAACCTGAATAAATATTAAATAAATTTTTTTTTAAAGGTGACATATAATGAAAATCTGACTTTTCCAGGTTTTAAGTGCTATAATCAGGTCCCCGGTGCATTTACCATCCAAGGAAAGGTGAAAAAGGTTAACCCAGTAACTTTGGTTTGGTCAGCCTTTTTCTGCAAGCGTCTGAGAAAACGAGCGTGTCTGATTTCGCTCCCTTGGTGACGTGGCAAAGGGATCTCATTATAATATTACCACCCCTTAATCTGTAAGTTTCCACCCACGGCGCTGTCATTTTGATTCCGCAAGTGACAACGGTGTAGCAGCTCTAATGCCATGGTGAAAGTTTGAGCAAA